TCCCAAATAAATAAATTATAACATAAATTAGAGAAGCGAAATAAATGGTTAAGGTTTACATTCTTTACATAATAACTTAAAGTACCAAATAGTGCTACGAAAATTACCCTTTTAAAGGAAATATAACAAAATAAGGAAATGAGAGAAAAATAAATGAAACTAGCATCCTACTCGCAACCCTCTTGTGGATCTGGTTTTGAATTCTGGTCCTCTTGATCTAAAATGGCTAAATAAGGAAGATCTACACTAGCCTAGTAAGAATATCACGGCAATTCACTGACACATAAATAAAGGTTGATAAAAAATCAAAACAACAAATGGAGCACTTAATTAAACAAATGCATTTATTAATAATAAAATTATTTACTGTCTACTTACCGTAGCGAGATTTATAAAAATAACCTATAGAAACAATAACATTATACATATTATGATTTCATATGTAATTATTAACATAACACATATTATACTTTCATATTCAAATAATCGAAACAATAACTGTCACTTTTCATCAGTTTGCTGGCATCCATGGGGGTTCATAAGGATGTCCCTACTACACGTGAATCCTTTCCTTTGACATTCTCAATTAACGGGCTATTCTCATATCACGTCTGGTATGAGCATCAAATTACTAAATCTCAATAAACCATCCGGCATAAGGGTAAAACGGGTCATCCTCATACCCCGTCCGGCATGAGGTTAAAACGAGTCGTCCTCATACCTCGTCCGGTATGAGCGTCAAATTACTAAGTCTCGATACCCTGTTCGGTATGAGACAACGTTCATGGTAGGGTTCCCTATTGTAACCGATCCGTCCACCATCTCCTAAGATATCCAAGAAGGTTATCGTTTTAGTTATTTACTTAATCATACAATTTTATGTTTTCTTTTAGTTTTCATTTTCTAATTCAACCGTAATCACATAAACAAACAAACATGCATCAAAGAATGCAATCATATCTCGATTTCTCAATTTAACAGTAGTCATGTAAGACAGCAATACATGCATTCAGACCATAAAATCGATAAATCATATATTATTATGCATTAAAATTGTAAAATCAGGTAATAAGTTAAACATAGTAAACAGTAATAAGTAATCGGTTCCGGCTCCATTAGTAATATGTAATTAATTACGAATATTTTCTAATTTATAAAAAATACCGTATTATTATTAATTAAACTTCAATTCCATAATAGGGAATAATGTAAGAGATTCTTACCTAATTTAATGTCCGAAAGGCTAAACTGTTGACTGCACCTACTAGCGGTCCCTAGGTTCCCTGAATTTTTTTTTAGGAATTAAAACACCCTATAAATATCTACAAATGTTCCAAAAAAATCCAAAATTAGCATCAAGGTCCAATTTTAGCCAATTCTGAAATTTTGACATGGCGGTGTTACGCCTCAGATTGGTTGTTTTCGATCAATTTTATATTGATCCCTACGAGAAAATACGTTAAAGAGCCACGGTTGGCAGAAAAAATACAAAAAATCAAAACTCACTGGCGGCGGGGCTCTCCGGTACAGCGGCTCCTCCGACTCACGTTGCGGTTGGGTATTTTGCTTCGGTGAACTTGTAGAGAAGGAAACGGTGATCACAACAGTAGAAAAATTACATCGAACGGGAATCAGGAAGAGCCTCATCGGAGGCATTTTGTGAAATTTATCGCAGAGGTGTTACCGGGCTTTGCTTGCAATTTTCGGCCAATCAGCCGGTCCTTTTACTCCAATTTGGCTATGGAGGTGTTTAAAATTTAATTCTGAGTAAAGTAGAAATTTTTTATCTTTTTTGGCGGTCGGAAGCAGCTTTGGTGCGACAGCGGGCGGCGGCGGCTAGGTCTTCTTCTCCAGCAAGGGTGGCTGGCGGTTGGGTTTAGGGTTTGGTGTGAAGGGGGTTATTTATATCCGTTTCTATTTAATATGGACCGTCAATCGTGTTTGGTCTGGACCGTTCGATCGCGAATAAATAGGGAGTGAATGTGGACCATTTATTGCGATCTAATCTGTACTGTTCATCGCGATCTAATTTGGACCGTCTGATTACATTTAAATCTGACCGTCCGATCGCGTTTGGGGAGGGAACGCATTTATGCCGTCCGTGTGCGCGGGAACGGATCTGGACCATTTGATTGCAGGGATGCGGATCGCCCACGTGGCCTCCCACGTGGCACTGCGTCAACGTCCGTTACCACGCGGCACGTCCTGATTTGTTGGGGCTGCTGACCGGGCATCCTACGTGGCAAAACTTTTTTAAATTGTATTTTGACTTCCGATTTCTGATTTTTCTTTCAAAAATACCCCAATAACCCAAATTTTCACATTTTTTTTCTAAAATTGTTTTCAATTTCATCATCCATCACATTTCTTTCATTTTTACACTAAATTAAAATTAAAAAATTATATTTATAATTAATTTAATTTACAATTAAATAAATTTGGACATAACATAATATCTGATCTTTCATAACTTTTTTTTGAATAAGCATTCGTAACTTATAGAGGTAATAGATTTTGATAACTAATAGAAATAGTGAGTATTCTTAATTGATGAAAATAATAAGTTTCATCAAATCGTATTAATTATTTACTACTTTTATGGTTGAACAGTGTTTTTGCCATGTGATTTTCCCCCTTTGACTTGATCAAGTTTTCACATGTTTTAGTAATTTTCAAATGTATAATATGATTTATATTTTTTAATTAACTAAGTATTATAATAAGTTATATATTGGTGTTTTTCAAATGTAATTACCAAAACTAAGCATCTATTTTATTAATTTTTTTTATTTAACAACTAGTCAATTAATATTTAATATAATATGTTAAATTATTAATACTAGTAATAATTCTTTTTTCAGTTAATTAGCTAGCCAATCAATTATTTATTTGCCTAACTAAGGACTTATTAGTTGAACGATAAATCTTTATATTCTTTCTTGCACAAAATTGGACAACGGGATGAAAAAAATTGTTAAGATATATCAAAGAATCATTAAGATATATCTCAATCACGAAGATATTTGGGCTCTCAACTAGAATTAACTATTTGATTAAAATGAGTTTAGTTTCGATGAACTTATATAATAAATATGATGTAGTTAAGGTGTCCGATGATTATATTGAAGAGAGGTAAGGAAGACGTTAGGATCGTTCTGCTTACGAAAGTTATTAGTTTCAATATTTTTTTATCCAATTAGAAAGAGAGAGAGAGAGAGAGAGATATAAGCTTAGAGAGGCTTAGAGATCAAAGAGGTTTGATTCGACGATTTAGAGGTCCGAGGATATGAAAAATTGGTAATGATTATGGAAAATATTTTTAAAGGGCCAGTAAATAAAAATACTTCTTGAACTCTAGCACATATCGCATGTATGATATATATGTTATGACAAATAAAAAATTCAAAACATAATTGCTGATTTAATACAAAGAGGTAGTGTGAAGTGTATATTGATATAATTGAATTATATAGTATAATTTAATATAATTATAAAAGTACAAGGCGCTGGTTATTATTATTATTATTATCATCATCACCATCATTATTAAGGTAAATTTTTGTTATTATTATTATTCACTATTATTTTCGTTATTATTATTATTGTAGAATTTTCTTTTATCTTTCTTTTCTCGACAACCCATATATTAAAACCAACCAAGAAAAAATAAAGAGAAAAGTATAGGTCAAAATTAAAAATCTAGAAATGCATTAATTAAAATTTTATTGATTAAGAAAGAGGTAAAAGTAAATTTATAATACCAGTAGAAGGAAGAATCAATAAACGAGAGTATGAAATTATTCTGTTGAAGGTGAAAATTATATAATAAGAATTTTTTTTTTTAGGACATGGTATGAATGTGACTTAAATTCTATTCATTATCTCGATAATCAGAATATTATATTATATGAATTAAATATTCTTAATTTTTTTCTTTTAACTTGTAATATAATTTTAGAAATTTTATAGAAAAATACAATGTGTACTAATATATTTTTTCTTGTAACTTAAGACGTATACTTGAACTTAGAGATGACAAAAAAATATTTATGAAATTCAATCAACTAAAAAAAATTCATGAAATTCACCCGAATCCGACCCGTTTATTGAGATTCTCTTTTATTATTATTATTATTATTATTTTATTTTTAAATTAGTAAATCATTATAGAGCAATGCCCTTTTTCTTTTCTTTCTTTTTAAATACTTACTTACACTTGTTACATTCTCCAAGCACCTCTCTCTTTTTCACTCTCCCCAAGGATCTGGAGCCAAACCCAACTTGGAAGAGTCTTCAATCTGTTCTGCTCCAAACACAATATGAAGAACTTGGGATTTTGTTTATCTTCTAAATCTCTTCTTATTTTTCTTTATCTATATGTATTTCTCTCCTCAAAAATTGAAGGATTTGAGACTCTGCTACAACTCCCACGTTCTGGGTCCTCCGAAATCCGACCCAGATCCTCACGGGTCATCACCATTGCTGATTTTGGTGCCAAAGGAGATGGTCTTACTGATGATACTCAGGTACCCACTACTTTCTCCTACCATTTATTTCTCTCTCTCTCTCTCTCTATCTCTCAATATATAAATATATGATGCTGGTAACTGTTGATGATTTTTGTTATCTTTTTTTAAAAAAAAGAAATAAAATTACTTTAATTTCCGGTTATGTAAGTAAGTTTTGTTCCATTTTTCTTCAGTGGATTAACATGTAAAGTATATTTATGATGTTTATATGTGATACCCATTTGTTGGAATCATGATAAGTTGGCAAATTTGATTGTTACAGTGATAAATTCATGTTTCTGAAATAGTCTGGGCAAATGAGGGTTGATGATCATATTGGTTGAAATGCTTGGCACAATGAGGAAAAATGTTAATATTATATTCTGCAATCAATTAATTCTTTTATATTTTCAACTATTATTATATTTTTATAGAATGAAGGTATTGAAGATATGCTGTCTGTTATTTATTGATATTTGACTTAAATATTGTTAGATAACACTCCTAACATGGCATGCTGTCTTTAATCTGATAATAAAGTATCTTTTTGCTTATCTTGATTTGCATTGAAGGTGGGGCTCATAAATATAGTTCTTTAAAATTTATACAATTTAGAAATATAAATCTGATGCCGAGAATGGAGATTGGAGCTTTGACTGGCATTTCTTAGAGCACCTGATCACTGATTCATATTTTTTAATATGCTTTCTTGGAAAATGAAGGAAAGAGCATCTTCACATCCCTTATTGTTGTAGCTGTCATTATTTCTAATAGGAAATTTGGCTAAGGAATAACTTAAATATATTTTTTCCCCTCTCTTTCACTCATGTTAAATAATTTTCTGGCAATGTTATGCATACTGAGATAATAATGAAGATTGTTACATGCAACTGGGCAGTTTTTGAATAGATTTGGCTATGTAACTTGTTCGAGAAAAAACTAATTCCGTATACCATGGAAATTTCACCCTTCTAGGCTTTTGAAAATGCTTGGAAGATGGCTTGTTCTTGCCCTGCTCGGTCAATTCTCCTAGTACCAGCTGGATTTACTTCGCTAGTCCATCCTATTGATTTTGCTGGACCATGTAGGTCAAAAGTGACTCTGCAGGTAAGTTATGGATGCCAAGCTAATTGGATTGATTATTGGTTTTTCCTATGTAATTTATCTTTTCGTTACTCTCCAGCGAAGGTTTGTTGGAGTTTTATTTTATTTGGTTTGGGTAATTATGTTGGAGTTTTATTTTAATAGATATCTGGTGCTATTGTTTCTCCGAAAAATCCTGAATCCTGGACTGGCTTAAACCCTCGGAAGTGGCTCTACTTCCATGGGGTGAACCATCTTCAAGTGGAAGGGGGAGGGACTATCAACGGAAGGGGACAAAAATGGTGGGACTGCAAAGTCAATAAAACAAGTGTATCGTGCCTTACATTCCTAAATCCATGCTTCTGTCTTCTTGAATTTTAATCTGTGCAGTTTTCTAACATCTCTCGTGTTATTTTTCACAGCCTTATCATCGTGCCCCAACAGTAAGAGCCTCATTTTGTTGTTCCATTTGTCTTTTTCAATATTGGATTCTTCTTTCCCTTTCTAATGGTATTGCCATGGGCTTCATATTGTTAACAATTATACTGCAGGCCATGACATTCCACAGGTGCAAGAATTTGAAAGTGCATAACCTTAAATTGATAAATAGTCAGCAAATGCACATAGCATTCACTACCTGCAATCAGGTTAAGGCATCCCATCTTGAAGTTATAGCACCTGCTTCCAGCCCCAATACGGATGGAATCCACATTAGTAATTCTCATAATGTTAAGATCAAAAATAGCATCGTCAGAACAGGTTGGCAAAATTCTCTCTTGACAAGTTTTCTGCTGGCTGTGAAACGACATGCTTTCTTTTCCATCCGAGTTTTGAAAGTATTGTAACAAATGGAATCGTATCTTTTTGTACCTTTGCAGTGTCTTTGTAGCATAGGCAACATGCTAAACAAAGATACTAGAAAATTTCTTGCCTAATGTGTCTACCAAAGAGTGATTGCCATGATTCTGTAATCATATTTTAAGTGTTACTGGGCTTACTCACTGCAATTCACTCTTCTATTTGGATTTAATACGAAAAATTTATTATAGTCGTGATGCAAATATCATGTTAGATCAACCCTAATCCAGAGTCAGAAATATGAAAACTTAGGGATCAAAATTATATTTTGCCATCATGAGATTAGAAACGTGGATTATGAAGATGATGGTTCTAAAAATTGAATGTTGTGACTTTTGTAATTTTCACTTGATACTCAAATTATGCATCCAGGAGACGACTGCATCTCAATAGTCAGCAATTCCTCAAAGATCCAAATCAGAAACATTTTCTGTGGGCCAGGCCACGGCATAAGGCTAGTAAACCTTACTCTAATCATCTTGAAGGTAGTCTGATCTTCTGAACTAACTGTCTTGCTTCCATTAGCATTGGGAGCCTAGGGGAATCGGGCTCATGGGTACAGGTGCATGATGTAAAGGTTGATGGAGCATTCCTGTTCAACACTGATAATGGATTGCGGATTAAAACATGGCAGGTACCATTCCCAAGGTCCTTCATATATGTGGATAGTTAGATAAATTAGAGGGGTAAAATGAGATATCTATCTGTTGTTGACTTGAATTCTGCTTCTTCTTAAAATACCAGGGAGGTAATGGTTTTGCTTCTGATATCAAATTCCAGAATATTTTGATGGAGAATGTATTAAACCCAATTATATAGATCAATATTACTGTGATTCGGAGCTGCCTTGTACAAACAGGTAAGAACAAACATACAATTGCTTNNTGTGCACATCAGAGGAACTCTGCTACAGAGAGGCATGATATTGCTGCAGTGATTCCTTTCCTTGTGAAGGGTTATATTAGAGGACATTCAACTTGTATCAGTCTCTGGGGGAATTACGGAATCTTTTTGCTGGGATTCCTATGGTTCATCTTCGGGCCTCGTGTATCCTCCCCCATGCTTCTCATCTTTTTCAAGCTTCATTAACCAGAAATTCTGGTTCAAATCTGCAGTTCAATCACTTTGAAGAATATTTTTACATCGAAAGCCAACCTGCAGAAAGTTCAGTGATTCTTTGCCTTGTTTCATTCAATTTCTTTTATTTGTTCCCTTCCTCAATACGGCAAGAAACAGCTCATGGCAAGATAGACAAATGAATGAAAATGCAAAAAAAGAACAAGAGGGAAACTACCTCCAAATAACTGCAGCCTACCATGGTTGATCACCTCAGATTCTTTAAATTCCTTGTTTAGTGGTTATTCTCTGTTGTATATAATTGAGCTGCGTTTGATATTATCTATAAAAAATTATATCATCTATTAGCTTCTTTTATATATATATTAAAATTTTGGTTTTCGTGATCAATTAAATTTTTGTCTAGCTAACTAATTTTTTACTTCATTAAATAGTTGATATATTTATTTTTTTTATGAGATGTAGGAGAGAGAGAGAGAGAGAGAGAGAGAGGGAGAGACCGAAATAATCAACCAACTTCTTAAATCATTCCAAAGATGGCAAAAAGGCACTTGAAGCCTAAATATCAAATTTACAGATGGCATTCAATATAAATGACATAATTCGTGAATAAAAAATACACTGACGATAAAGCATGTACTTTCCTCTGTATTCTAGGGAAAGCAGCAACAACAAAATCTTAAACCTTCATCATCTTCCTCATCATCAGTTGAAATTCGATCATTGCAAACTCAATTTTGACCATCATCAGCTAGCGGGTACCAAGCTTGGGGCAGCCCTCTGCTAGAGGTAAGTCCAAATTTTCGACACTTCTAAATGTTCTAGGCACCATTTTATCAACATAGAGAGTTCCATCCAAATGATCACACTCGTGCTGCAAAATACGTGCCTGCCAGCCTGAAGCAGTTACTTTGATTGGTTTACCATCACGACCAAAACCTGTAACCTCAACATCAAGATATCGCTCCACTACTGCTCTGAATCCATCCACACTGAAATTAGTAGCAATAAAGAGAACTGTAAGATTGAAGCAGAAAGTAACTGATATCTTAGTCAAGATCAACGTCAAGGTTCAACTAAAAACTTCAGCAATATCATTCACTACCTCAGAGCTTAATACATAGTCCAAATCTCCACCACATGTTTTCAAATATAAAATACATCTCTCTTTCTATGAACTCCTAATTGCTTATGAATTAAAAGATTTCAACAATCCACAAACAAAATAGATTCCCAAGATTTAGAGATGTCCAGAGATCACAATTTGGACAATCCACAAACAATTTTAACTCAGTTCCTACCGTGCTGGAAATTGATTGAAATGGAAACGGTTATCCTAATAACATAAATATCCAAGGAAGTATTTTGATTGGATCAGGAGTCCAAATTATGTACCATATTCTATACGTTTGGATAAAATATTTCCTCCATTATACTACTCAATCTTATCCTTAAGAGTGCCTTAAAAGCAAATCAGTCTGCGATAAAAAAATCAATGTGAAGGATCACGTGCAACAAATTTACATGTGAAAACAGTAGCAATTCTTGTAGGTGCTATCCAAGATGTGAGCAACTTCATTTGTCCATGATACCCTATTCTTTGTGAATGTACAGGAAAATTGAGCATAGAATAATCCGGATCAAGCTACTAGATAATTGTTCAGCAATTAGTTAAAAAAGGCACAACATAAAATTTTGCTTGACAAAAATATTTTATAAGCGATCAAACTTGCATTTGGTCCCAAATATCTGTTACAATGATACTGAATGTTATCCAAGAAACTACGAGTTACAAAAATTTTCTAGTTTTCAAACAAAAAAATGTTATCAGTTCTAATTTTACATTAGAACTAAATCCCGTTAGTTTCCTACGCTATTTAGTAGTAGCTCTTGCACCCAAATACTGGTCACTGAGGGAAAAGGAAGCCACTAAGTGAATAACAAAATAAACAGTGATGCTATCAAATGTAAGACTAGATTTTTCATGATGTAAAGAAGCAAGTGAGGGTTAAAAATAAAATAAAACAAGCTAGGCTGTTGGAGCTTGCTGCTGGCATCTTACCTCAGGCACCCTTCAAAAAAGAATGCAGTCCTGTTGCTCTTCTTCTTAAGCTTAGGGTTCAAGATCACCTGACTCAGAAGAACTAATAATAGTACCGTGAAAATTCTTGAATGCTATACGTATTGATGATCTAAAACATTCTGAAATTTGATAAATATATATTAAGATAACTGACATACCAGGAGATCAAAAGGGCGCCTATCTTGTGCTTTCGCCTCTTCCTTGGGCTGATAGCTAATATATTCTTTTGTATCTTCCAAGACTATGATCTATGCCAATAAAAAAAGTAACTACCATGTTAAAAAAATCCCCGAACTTCAACACCGGTTTTGCCTCTTAAGAATAAATAATTGCACAGCTATTGTTGACAAATTTCAAATGGTAGCCTCATAGTAATTGACTCCGAAATTTTAGTTCAAAATTTTGCATGGGTCATGATATAATATATTACATGCATAAGAAAATGGAGAATTGAAAACATTTATTGAATTTATTATGGTTTTATATTAGATTTTTCTTTTCCAAAAAATAGTTCTTTTTAAGAATATTTACAAATTATATTCATATAATATCTGATAGTCAATTTGCAATCAAAACTTTCAATTGATTTTTTGTAGTATTCTTCATATGGGATTATAATACTTAACTACAGTACATGCATTATGAATCGAATTAGCTATGTCACCAACTATGCCTATGTCTGGAAAAAGTCCAGGAATTTCGTGAACTTCATTGTAAATTCACGTTTTCTTTAACTAGAAAATGATGAAAATCTTCTTTTAAATGACAAAGATTGACCTAATGTGAAATTCGACATTGAACTACAGTAATGCATTTCTAATTCCATCCATTTTTAATGTGGGAATTCCACATTGACACTCGTGGTTTGACTCCTCAAGACAAGAGATTCTCTCACAATCACCGGTAATTTAATTGAAAGTTAGATAGAAGTTAAAATACTTCTCAGCAATCACAGGTCTACATAACTTTCTCCGCAACCAAACAGGGGAAAAAAAGAGACTTCAAACCAATAGTAGAAAACTAACCCTTAATGGAATCCCAATCTGAGGAGCAGCAAGACCAACCCCAGGCGCCATTCTCATAGCCTTAACCATATCATCGATTATCTTCTGTATCCTGTCAGAGCCAATTTCTTCCGGGTCAACTTCTCGGGCCGGTTCATGCAAGACCGGGTCTCTGCTTTAACAATCTCAGGCGAGCTCATTTTCTTTTTTTCTCCAAGACCCAGAAGCCAACCAGCTTTAGCAGTCAGAGACGAAGACGAAGAAGAAGTGTAGGTTCTTCTAGAACTTCGATTAAGGATATCCGGTGTGGAAATGGGCACTATAATCGGGTGGGATGTCGGGATGAATTTGGAAGGTCTAATGCATTTGTCAGCGAGAGATATCGGGAGGAGACGGAGTGAGAATCTGTGGAGGGCTTCCATGGCCGTTGATGCGGCTGAGAGAAGCTCAGGTAGAAGACAGAAGTGAGAATTTGTTGAGGATTTCCATGGCCGTTGGATTTGATTTCAGGATGAGAGATCGTGGAATGATTTTACGAAATTGCCACTGATGCGCGGCTTTCGCGGTTTCTACAGTGGTGCTTGTGTTTGTGAGCGTGAAATTAATTTAAAAACTATTTATTTTTTTAGTAAATAATTTAATTATTTACTACACAAATATATTTTATAAATATAAATTTCAGTATTAAAAAAATTAAATTTAGATTTTAGTAAACTTTAATGAATATAATTTTAGAAAACTATATAGATATTATGTAACGGCCATGGAATTTAAATGAAGATGTATGTATTAAAAATCTTAAATGCGGAAGCGTAATAAAAATTTTGATTAACATCCTTTACACAATAACAAAAAACGTACTCAAAACATGAAAGAATAAACTAATTAAAAATGATACTCGAAATAAAAACTATGAATAGAGTTATAAGGTCCTTAGACGTCTAACTCGCCGTCTTCCTGCGGAACGGGCTTGAGAACCACGTCTTCCTGATCTGAAATAGTTAAGTAAGGAATGAGCTACACTAGCCCAGTAAAG